TAACTATTTTGTGTCACCACCTGAAACCTTTAGTACTTCAAACCAATCAAAGTCTTCGATCTCAGTATTTGCGTAAACCATACTTTTGTCTTCTCTTTCCAAATATGGTATGAAGTTGTGCATATATTATCCATTCGTTTTTCTATATTTAGTGTGGCATTTGCATTGTCTGTATCCTGTCTAACCACAATTTTGGTTTAGAGATGATATTTGTTTGTTCTAGTGTTTTGATTTTGTGATTTTTGGTGTACATGTACATGTAGTTTGCTGGCGTTGTGGTGTATTCGTCCTTGTGCCTTGGCGCAGTTGTAATATTTTTGTTCTAGTGTGTTGATTTTGATGGTTTTGTCGTTGTGGGTTGAATCAGTGGTAAGTTTTGTTCTAACGTGGTGACATTTTTGGTTTCGTTAAACATGTTGATTATTTGTTTTGTGTCGACCTTTACCCTGTGTATCGTCATAGAGGTATTTTTTCTATTTCACTTGATTACACAATACAAATATAAAATAATTTTATTTGAAATAACGTAGCATTTTGTTATTCCCAAATATTTTCTTCATGTTGGTAAGTATGGATTATGAAAAGTTTCTTGTTACACAACCAATAAGTGTTTCTATGTAACGTTTCGATGACAAGTACGGTATGTACTCTGTCACCTTCATCAGACAAATGACTAGTGAAGCGTATGCACACAAAGGTGTAAAATGTGTACGAGTTGCCCACAAATCGATGTCGATTCGGCTACGCTGTAAGCGTGTATACAATAGTTGTTATATATGTACCGAAATGACTCGATTCAGCTACGCTTTGTTTAATACTTAGACATAGTCGTCTCGTTCAACCAGACTCTTGTTGTCTTGTGAATTACAAGTGATCAAGCGTCTGGTTGAACGAGACTATAGTCATAGTAGTATTTTGTTGTTGTTAATTTCATCATGCAATAATGAGGTACGTCTAACGCTATCTTTTCTTGCTTTTTAGCATGACGATTAACTTTGAGACGATGACCGGCAGTGTTACAGCAGGAGAGGACGAGGAAAAGCTTGTCATTAGTAGGGATTAATTGTGCTGAAGTCAGTGAACCCTGACTCTGATCATCTTCCCACGTTATCAATGAAATATGTATAATGTGGCATATATCAAACACTTTAAATTTCTTGATTCATTAATTGAATATAAGTCAAACTATATGGTTTATTATTCTACAAGAGTAATACTCATTCCAATTTCCTAAGCTCCGTGGATCAGAACCGTGGATATATTGTCTATTTCGATCAAGAACTTTGCCTTTCTTGATAGCAAAATCTTTGCTTAAAAACCCTTCTGTGTTTACAAGCCACAGTTTAATTTGTATTCAAGATCTTGCTGAAATTATCATGACTCCCATGAACGATGTCGACTGATGACGGGGAAAAAACAACACAGGGTTTCCAAGACGTAGGTTGAAGACGACTCAAGTTTTATAGTCATCATAATCATAATATACAACATTTGATATAGTGCCCTATCTAGCTAGCACAGGCCACTCTAGGGCACTTTACAGTACATACATATACAATTTATACAATCAATACAATTAGCATATACATTAATCAATACAATATTGAGGAATTCGCAGGAGCTGCCTTATCAGGCGCTAACTACTGGTCCTTTGCAACCTGGCTAATATCTCCCTATGTATGTATGCCTGCGTGTGTGCTGGATATGTAACGTGTTCTGTTTGTAGTGGAACAGTGCTTCCAACGGTATCATTTATAGTGTCACCTCACTTGAATGCTACATCACAGATACCGCAATATGCATCCAAGACCATTTTATACTCCACCTGGGTTGTTGGAGTTGTGTGGGCAGGAGATAAAACACTTTCTCTGAATAAGACATGCGAACGGCGACTTCGGGGATTGAACCCCGACCGCCTGCGTTGAAGGCGGGAGTGTAAACCACTCGAACAATCCATCCATAAACCCATCCTCGTAGGAACATGTTATTCCTTTGTGTGAAATGAAGGGCGGTATTTTATTATGTCTTTTTGTTTTGATGTTCATGTAAAACCAAGTTCTCGATACGATTTCTTGGATTTGACCTAGGTTTACATGTACGGTTTCCTCCCACAATAAGACTACCGCGCACTAACATCTCGGCCAACAAGAGTGATTAATATAAGTTGAAATAACCAATTTCATATTTTTTGTAAACTATATAAAGTTTGTATATATTATAAGCTGGAGACGTTTACACCTTCGGAACACCTGGTATTATTATCTTGTACGTTACAAGGGTTTTCGTGTAAGTCTTTCCTTTGTTTATATTATGTCCTAGTTTTTATCGAATTTGAGGACGTATTACGCTTGGTTGATGCTTCGGTATTCTCTTGGTGTTTTTTTTTTTTGCTTGTGTTCTTTAAGAAATAATATATAACAAATAAGTTATTATAACATATATCGATAATCATATTTCGAGTTCCAGAAATAATTCGTCATCGAAGTAAATATATAGAGCAATTTGATAAATTATATCATGACCAATAACTATATGGCAGAAAAAATACGCCCGGGTGGTGATTAGAAGTGTGTAACTCTATGTCGAATGTTCTCTTGTGCCTTTTAAAACATTGTCCTAATGACAATGGTAAAATGAAAGGTACCAAATAGCTGATCACTCTGTATATATACATATTTAGGGCAAATATCCCGAGTTCGAATCCGAATTTTTTTGTTCAAAATGTCGTAATTCTAAGGAAAAATAAAATATTTGGTATATGAACTGAACATAAACATTATGTAGTAAAATACTAAAACTTAAACTAATGACATCGCCATAGCGATCAATTCAAATACGTGATAGATAATGACGTCATATCTTATATAAACGGTATGTGTAGTATCTCGGAGGGATGACAGTGTTGAAAGACGAGTGGTGGAGTATTTTATCTATTTTTTTTAACTATGTGTATATACATTGTATATTCCAGCACTTTGTCTTTGATTTCTTGTATGTTTTGGTGGAATATAACTCGATCGACTTAAATACATCTTTAAGATGAATATATGCATTAATTTCATCGCATAAAACACACATATAGAGGTTCATATATGGCCATGTTGATAGCATATCCTTAACAGCCCTTGGTGACCATAGTTATCAATAGGACGTACAGCATGAATAACCAGGACAATCCCATACAAGCATGAGGGTCCTTGGGCCTCTCCGACTGGTATTGGGATGTTCGGGCTACATGTAATAAGGGTATGATATCAAATTTGTCATATCGTAAATTTTTCATCTTTCCCCATTTGTATTTTAATTGTATCTGAATGACCTTAAAATGTTTTTAGAATCTAATGACTGTACAGGCCTATCAAATTTGTCGGGAAAACTTGAGAATGAGTTACATGTATATCTCAAGTTGTGTGTAGTGTTACATGCTGATGACACTATTTTGTAAGCAGACACCCAGAAGATTTACAAAAACAACTTAATATGTTTTATGATTATTAAAATTGTGGCATCTTAAAGTAAATATCGATAAAACAAAAATTATGATATTTGGTAGAGGGAGAGTATCCCAAAATATACGTTTTACCTCTAACAGAAATGAAGTAGAAATTGTGATTTTTTTAAAATATCTTGGTGTTCATTTTACTCAAAATGGTTTCACACAGTTAAATATCAGACAATTATATGATAAGGGCCTTAGAGCAATGTACACTGTATGGTGCTATTGCTAAATGCAGAGACCATAATCTATCAATTGACTGTAAATTAGATATTTTCGATAAAGCTATAAAGCCTGTCATGTTGTATGGTTGTGAAGTCTGGGGGTTTTGTGATTACAAAATTTAAAACGTTTACATTTGAAATTCTGTAAACATATTCTTTAGGTGAAAACATCGACACCGAATTTCATGATTTAATGAGAACTGGGGAAGACTTCTTCTGAGTATAAATATCAAAGTTCGAATGATTTTGGGCCAAATTGTTAAAACCAATACCTAATAAATTAAGTAATAAAATGTATAACATTATTTTAAACTATAATAGTCAATGGACTTATTGTATTAAAAATATCCTTGATGAATGTAATTTAATACATATATTTGAAAGTCAAGAATTCCATAGTACCCAATGGTTGAAAAATACAGTTTTCCATACACTCAAAGATCAATTCATTAATTATTTGGGAATGTTTTCAATTCACCTAAAGGGACCAATTACAGAATTTTTTAAAATGACTTAGTATTAGAAAAATACCTGCTAGATCTCCCTCCAAGACTAGCAAATTTTTATTGTACATTTAGAATTTGTAATGCTAATTTTCCGATTGAATGTGGTAGATGGAATAACATACCACGAGAAGATAGAAAATGTATTCTTTGCGACCTGAATGAAATTGGAGACGAATATCATTATTTGTTTAAATGTATTGATCACCAGATACTGCAAAACAGAAGAAAATTTATGTCGAGATAATATTTTGAAAATCCTAGTACTTTCAAGTTCAATACATTTAATTATGTCAATAATGAAGAATTAATTTCACTTAAGCACATAATTGAGCGAATTAACACTGTCCATTAACACCATGATGTATATGTTAATTGTACTATATATATGTAAATTCTCTATACTGTAACCAGTTTGCGAGATTAAAAACTTGTCGTTGTCATTGTCACATGTGTATTGTGTCATTATTAACGAATGCCCATTGATGCCAAATTTAATTTGGCACCAATAGGCTTCCGTACTTCTATTATTATTTACACATTACATATCAAGAAGAACAACGATCGGATTTATTTTAATCATCAATGTCAATGGCAACACACTACTGACACATATCACAACAATATTACAGATCAAGTAATATCAGACAATTAGCGAGCCAATTCGCGATAATGAATATATATATTAAGATGTTTTAGTAATAAAAAAATATAAAACTATACACCGATGCATTATGAGATTTTGTATTGACTATCAGGGTTAGTTATAATTATTGCTTTCATCGTGTGTGATTCTATCCAGTCGAACAGCAGAGCTTTATGTTCAATTGTACAATAAAGTGAAATAAATGAATACCAGTAAATCAACAGTATAATTGAAATTGGTTGTTTATTCCAAAAACGACATAAAATCAAAACATGTATAGTCTATTGCCTACATGTCACATGTTTACAATACATGACACATCACACTGGTGCAAAAAACATGTACATGTAGGCATTAAGCCATATATATATTATTGGCAACATGTCTATTGTAGGGGGNACTTGGTACCACTCTTCTGACAAACCTATAAAGATATACTGTACACACAAGAAGAATAACTTCACAGTGGTACACTTTTACATAAAACTTTGATTCATAACAAATTAACAGTAAATCCTTCTGTACAATATGATGGGAACTTCGTCTTTATTTTGTTCTCCATTCCAAAAATAATATATATATCTTTTGCCTTAGCTTTCAGCACTTTCAGTACTTTGATTAATTCTTGGTCACAGGTATTGTCAATGTCAATATTTTGTGAATTATCGATAACTTAAGTTAAGTCTGATAACACGTTAGACATTGCCTGCTGTTGTTTAATGAATGTTGTACATAGCGTAATCACAACGGTGTGTACTGTTTGGATACAACTTCCTTTTAACCTGATTAATGGGAAAAAATGAAAAAATGTATTGTCTGCCTCCTAAATTACTGGACCGATTTCAATGCCTCGTAAGGTACTCGGCTGATTTCAATGAAAGTTTACAGATATGTTAAATACCCCCTGATGTCGTGCATCGGGGTAGTATTTTTCACATTTGACCCTTTTTAAGAAGTTTTAGCCCTTTGCTAAAAGTATTTGCCCTGATAACTCATTTACTACTAGGACGATTTCAGCACAATGTCAGTTACCTATATAGACTATATAGGCTTAGCAACGCGTTGCCTTAGTTAGCCTTTAGCTTACAGTTCTGGTTTATATAGGAGCGGGGGTATAAGTTAGCCCTTGGCTTACAGTTCACGTTATTTTTAAAATGCTATTTCATACGTTTAATATAATAAATAAATTAATAAAATAAAACACTGAGGTACAAAACACTGCCGTTGCAAAGGTATTGGAAACTGCGGAGGGTCAACTATCATAGACGTCAATTAAAACACAATTTTATTAGTTTGATCTGCACATGTACAAAGTTTATTTCTTAAAAGCGCATGCACGTTTTTTTTAACATAAACGCACTACATACACAAATTATGCACAGGTAGGGCCGTTTTCACTGCGGGTCGTTTTTAGTAGGGCCGTTACTTCGACTGGATCGACCTACTAAGAAATTGTAGTCTCGTTCAAGAATTTCAGGTGAAATAGGGAAATAGCTTTTCTTAGAGTAGTTTAGGAGCGTTTGAGGAAACCATAACGTCATTTGGCTCAAACTTTTTTTGATAACTTGGAAGCAAATTTTCATACATCAATAGTTATTTTATTTAGATACGAACGCGAGATAGTAGCTTTCTTATAAGTATGTCACAAAACACTGTTTTAAACTACTCTGTTACAAAAACGA